ACGCATGGGCGTCGCCTGAATGATGATGATGGTGATGATGATGGTGATGATGATGGTGATGATGATGCTGCAGATCTTGGTGATGATGATGAAGATGATGCTGCGGACGATGCTGATGATGCTGATGATGGTGATCATGACGATGACCCTGATGATGATGGTATTCGCGATGACACTGGAGATGCTGATGGCGTTTGTGATTACCATGATGTGCATGGTGATTATGTTTATGACGATGATGATGATGATGATGGGCATGATCATCATGATCGCCAACACCACCACCATCAACATGGTCGTTATTTTGAACAACGCCGGTCCTTGTCATGCTGCAGCAAGGGCTATTGGACCCCCCCATGGCGGCCTATGAGGAAGCAACTTGTCTGCTGCAGTTGATGGCCACTCACATGGTCTTCATCCCCACGCTGGATGAGGAGTGCGGCCAGTAGCCCTTATCCGGCTCTTCCTGCGCCTCTGGAGCAGGCTCATGAAACCAGTCTGTGCGGCATGGGAAGCATCCCATGACCACCACTTCTTCTGGGTCGAGGCCGACAGAGGCTGTGAGAAGGCAGGCTGGCCGCACAACGCTTGCGCCGCGTGCGCCAGAAGCAGCGGGTTCGTCACGGCCAGGCTGTTCCTATACATCCCCAAACTTTACGAGAACTTACGGCACGGCGTGCTCAGGCGGAGCGGCGCAGCCCACGGCTTCAACCTACGCCTCCTCAGTGGCCGTCTGGTCATGAACCAGAGCCCTGGGTTCATCTGCTTCGCAGGGGTGGCGACAGAGTCCTGTTCGACCCTGGGCGCGGTCTTAGCGGGATGCGCCTGCGCGACCACGGTGGCCAAGCTCCCAGTGCTGGACGCGCTGCGCTCCGCTTCGGGAGGGGGCGGGCCGCTGGTACTGGCGCGCAACGTCGTGGGCGACGTCGCGCCCAATGCCGTGGGCGCCGAGATGCCCCAGCAGCTCGGACAGGCGGGCTTGGAGGTCGCTGTTTTCTTGGGCGAGGAGCACCTCCGTTTCGGCGCCGCCAAGTCGGGTCTCTTAGCCTCCATCCCTTGCTTGGCGCAGCAGCTGAAGGACACGTGGGGGAAGAGGGGCTGAGGATTCAGGTGAGGCCTCCAGGTGCGGAACCTCGGCGCGGGCGCCAGCGTCGCTGGGCGCGGCGCGGAAGAGGGCACCATCCGCGCCGCGGGTGCCCTCTCGCAAGCCAGGAAATTGAGGCGCCTCCAAAGCTCGAGCGTCGGGGTGGACCTCATCCGCAAGGCGGAGCTCGCAGCCAGCCTCGTCTGGGCCGCGCGGTGACAGGGGTCGGCGACAGCGAGCTCCATGCTTGGCGGCCGGCAGCAGCGCGCAGCGCGGGCAAGCTGTCCGCCGGCTCCGCCCTCGGCTTCCGCTTTCGAGCAGCTGAGGTGGCACGGCAGCGGGATCTCGACCCGGGCGCGATCATCGCAGGACAGGCCGCCCAGATGTTGGCGAGCAAACTGCCGACAGGGGAGCTACCTGAGCGCCTGAGCTCATGATGGCCAAGTGCCTGGCAGCCGCGGAGGCCAGCCATGCGACGGCCACTTCGCCCCGGGCGCCCTGCGCCGCGCCCATCGACGCGGCGGTGCAGACCATGGCGAGGATCGGCTGGCGGTTAGATTCGGTTTTTAGCAGTTGAAGAGCTTCGCGGATGCAGGAGCTCAACAGTTGCAAGAGCTTCGCGGTTCAGGGCGACAAGCTCGACCTCACCATGATCGGCCCCCTAGAGCTTGGAGTCGAAGCTGCGTTCGGCGCGCGCCAAGCCTCCGACCGCCACGAGCTGGCCATGCTCGCCAGTGGCGCGAGGCTGCCGATTTTCTGGGACATCCCGGGGCCGCGGAGCGGCCTGGGCGCGAGAGGGCGGGCAGCTTTCGCTTCCTACCTTCCCGGCGCGCATTGGCTGCGGGCGAGGGTCTCCAGCGCGGGCGAGCGGGCGCGCTGCAGATGCTGCGCCTGCGGGCCCCCCCGCGGGGCGCTCTGTCGCAGGCTCTCCCTCGGAGGCCCGCGCGGGGGCTCCACCTCGGCGCCCCGGCGCCTTTGTGCAACCGCAGCGCGAGCGCGAAGAGAGGCAGCAGGGGAGAGCTTCGCGAAGCTGGCTACCCGCGCCGCCGATGGGGGAGCCGCGCGCAGACGTCGCGCACGCGCGGTGGGGGAAGCGACCAGAGAGGGACTTGCTCAGCGGGCGCTTGTTCCTCGACGGGTCGGTCATCGAGCCGCGCGCCAGCGTTCTCGGGCGGGCGGGCTGGCCCATCGCGCATCGCGACGACGGCGGCAACCTGGCGGCGGGCGTCCGCGGCAGCGCGAGGCGCGACCCTTGCCCGCTGCAGACGGCCAAGGATGGGGGGGCCTCGCTGTCTGAATGCTCAGCAAGTGCATGGGGCCTCCAGTTGCTGAGCTGAACATCGACGGCAACGCTACCGTCGACTGCCTCCACCGTGGGGGGGCCCGCGCGACGGCCACCAACGAGCCGCAGTCGCACTTTTGGTCCAGTATCCATGCGGCGTTCGAGGCGGGCGCTGTGGCCGCGGTGAAGGTGCCCGCCCGCCGCTCCTTCGAGGGCGCCCTCGACGGCGAGCTCGCGGAGCGCGAGCCGCGCGGCGGCGGGCGCGCGGACAGGCTTGCTGGGGCAGGGGCCCGCCTCCGCAAGGTCGGCGTCGCGGCGGTAGACAAGTGCCATGCGCTGGCGAGGTGTCTCGCCCAGGCCTCGGCCATCTGGCAGGGTGTCGAGGCGGGGGGCTGCAGGGGCTTACCTGAGGGCGCGGAGCGCAGGAGCGTTGCCTTCGCCGAGCCCGCGGTCGGGGTCGACGAGCAGCGGGCCGACCGGGGGCGGATCGAAGGCGCCCGCGCAGCTGCCCAGGCCAGCGGAGTTGCCATCAGCGCCGCGCCCTTCGTCATCGCGGGCCGCGCGCTGGCCCGCGCCCGCCGCGGCGACGGCAGTCCTCGCCAGCTGCGGCTTCGACGGGAAGAGCGGAGGGCGAGGTGGCGCCGCTGCGCCAGCCGCGGGCACGGCGACAAGTCGCCGTGGATCAAGCGCAGCCCGCGGGGGCGAGGCCCCCGCCCTGGAGGGCGGCCACTGCGACGCAAGCAGCGCTTTGCGAGGGAAGATGGGCTGCGGTCGTGGAAGGAGGCTTCAGTCCCGCAGGATGCGAGGGGCCGATGCTTGGAGTGGCCCGGCATCCAGGTCGAGGCGAGCGAGGCGGGAGGCGCTGCAGAGGACCGATAAATTTCTTTGGCGGGGGGGGGGCGGCAAAGGGTGAAACCTGAATGCCGCTTCGCCCAAGACATCGCCATCCGTCAACATCCTCCCCCTCTCCCCCGCCCGTTGGTCCTGCGCCCCGGCTCCCGCCTCCGCCCCCGTCGGCGCCTCCGCCTGCGCTTCCTCTTCCAAGGCCGATCCTCTCCCTCCTCTCCCCCCCCCGCCCCCCTCCGCCCCCCGCGTCGCCGTCGTCCGCCCGCCCGCGCTGCTCGCTGGCGGCAGCGGGCGGGCGGCGCCGCGCCGCTCTGGCCCGCGCGCGCTCGGCCCTCCGCCGAGCCCGCGCCGTCGCCGGCACCTCAACTGGAGCCGCCCTCTCTCGATCCCGGCCCCGTCGCCCGCGTCGCCGAGCTGGGGCGCGGCGGCCCCGCCATCGCGCGCGCGCGCGTTCTTCCGGAGCCCGCTCGCGGCCCCGCTCGGGGCCGCCCCCGCCGCCCCGCGACGGGCCCCCGAATCTCGACCCCCGCCGTCTTTCCCGCGCGTTTCCCGCCAAACGGCCAGAGGTGTCTCTAGAGAAGCAGAGCGATTCCTAGAACGCAGAACGAGATTTTAGAACCGCAGAGCAAATCTTAGAACAGCAAAATTAGTTCTAGAACGCAATGCCACATTGTAGAATTCCATATAGTAGACAGCGCAACCAACAACAAGTTCTATAACGAACAAGTCTAGAACGACGAAGCGAATTCTAGAACGCAGAAAATTTTAACGGTTCTAGAATTGTGGATTTACCTCTCGGGCGCCAGTCGCGCGCTCGTTCACCCGTCGGGCGCCGGTCGCGCGGCAGTCGCGCGCCCGTTCAACTGCCTGGCGCAGTCGCGGGCCCAGGGGCTCAGAGAGTCAGCCGGCCACCCCGCCGGCCAACTGCCCAGCCCAGCAGCCAATCCGCCGGCCAACCGACCAGCGAGCCAACCAACCAAAGCGAACCTCCCGGCCAATCAGGGACAGGGCGCCGGCAACATATGGAAAAAACCGTGAATGCAATGTCGGGAGAGTCCGCGCCCGCCTGCCATTCGCAGATGCGCCGAGCGTGGATTCGTCGAGACACCGACAAACCGCCGGCGACATCGGCGGGGCGGCAAAGCCTCGTTTGAAATATTGCCGGGTGCGAGCCATCAACGGCGCCCGATCGCGCGCGGGCGCAATCGCGACGTCGCAGCAGGAGCCAGGCGCCGCATGTGCACGGGCCGCTACACAACGCAAGCTTCACCCTGGAAGCCACCCAACCACAGGACGGATTGATTTTTCCCGTGGAAAAGCCCATGTGCATTTCATCCTAGGCCCTAAGCCCTCCACTTGAAGAAAATGCTCAGGGGGAGAGCGGACCGCCGCCATCTAGGGCCTCCGTGCTGGCGGAGTTGACGCAGGTCCCATCGGCGCCGCCGCTGGCGCTGTGGGCCCCTCTTTGGCGCCCGCAGGCGACTGCTCTGTCTGCTTGGGCGCGCGCGGCCTCGACGAGGCCGGGTGGGCGAGCCGGGCCTTGGCAGCGCGCGAGGGCCGAGCCGAGAGGAGAGCGCGTCGCCGCCGGGGGCGCAGGCTTGCAGGGGCCGACGGAGTCAATGGCAGCGTCGGAAGACGAGGGCCACGCGGGCCCGCCGCGGCCCGCCCGCTGGCGAGGCCCGCGGCGGGGGGGCGAGCCGCAAAGCGGAGGGGCTTCGCGGGCGGGGTCTTGTCCTCCAAGGCTGAGCCGTCTGCCTCCGCGAACCCAGCGCGCGCCGCAGCGACGGGCTGGGCCGCCTCGCTGAGCCAGCGCGGGGCGCGCAAAAGGAAGCTGCAGTTGTGCAGGCAGGGCAACGGTGTTTCGTGCTTCCTCGTCTGAGACCTCGGGGTTGTTTCTCGATGCCGCTTTGGCGGCTCTGTGTGGGGGCGGCTCCGTGTTCGTTCAGCGTGGAGCATGTCTTATTCATCGTGCTTTGTGCAAGGGTTTCCCGTGCCGAGCTATTGATCCTTCGGCCCGGAGGGCCCCGGTCGCGGCGGGGTGGCAGTTTGCGAGGCGAGAGGGCCCATTGGCTGGCGCCATCCGCCCTCCTGCTGCCCTCGGTGCCGCAGCGCGCCTCCGTGGTCTCAGTCGGCCTTCGGCAGGTTGTTTGAGGCCCGAAATGGCCCCGGGGCCGCCGGGGGCTCGCCTCCCGCCGTCGGCCTCGGCCCCTCAGCGGGGCCCCTCTTGCCTTTGAGGCCCCGCCATTCCGTTCGATTCCAGCGCGGCAGGCCACGGGGGGCACGGCGTAACCTAACAGCACGGCAGACAACAGCAAGGCGGCTTATCAGCACTGCAGACTAAAGGAGCATGGTCGACCAACATGGCAGACCAGCGCGGCAGACCATAGGAGCGCGGTATACCAGCACGGTAGACCGCAGCAACACGGCAGACCAGCACGGCAGACCACAGGAGCACGACAAACCAGCACGGGAGACCACAGCAGCACGGCAGACCAGCACGGGTGACCACAATAGCACGGCAAAACCCAAGAGCACGGCAGACCACAACAGCATGCGGCAGACCGCAAGAGCACGTCATATTACAGGAACGCGGCAGCCCAACACAATGAACAGCTAGCAATATTTAGCAAGTTTGTTGGTCGTTTGTGCTTTGTTTCCGGGTTCCTGTGACCCTTTCAAGAGGACATTCTCTGACAAGTCTCACACGCATTTTCGGCGCGGCCCGCCCTAGCTTTGCCTGGCTTTCGACCTGCTTCGCGAGCCCGCGAACCAAATAGTTCTTGTCCAGCCAGGTTCCTCCAAAATGGCCGTTTCGCTGAGGAGATCCTTAGAAAAAAGGGTTCGGAAGGGGGCTCCGAATTAGCATCGTCTTGGGATCGTTTTTGAATGGGGCCCACCGTTGCCAAAAGGAACCCCCAAAAGGCGCCCCAGAGGACCCAAAGAGGCCCCCAAGAGAGCCCCAGGAGGCCCTTAGACAGCCCAAGACAGCCCAAGATGGCGCCAAATCGGCCTGAGAGAGCCCCCGCAGAACCGTAATACGCGCCCAGACAGCCCAAGAAGAGCCCAGTAGCCCCCAGGAGGACCCCGACAGGCCGCCTATAGGCCCCCACGATGCTCCAAGCTCCAGGTGGCCCCGACACGACAGCCCACAGGGAAATTTCAGAAGATCAAGAGGACACCCCTTCTTCGACGTCCTTGTCCTCGGGCTCCTCACGTCCTCTGTCGTCGTGGACGTCGTCGTCGTCGTCGTCGTTTTGCTTCTCTTCCTCCTTCTCCTCCTCCTCCTCTTCCTTCTCCTCCTCATCCTCATCCTCATCCTCCTTCTTCCCCGCCTCGTTCCTCCTCGTACTCGTCCTCCTCGATTTTTTTGTTTTCGTCCTTTTCCTCGTCCCCCCACTCGCTGTCCTCGTGCTCCCATCGCAGACTCCCCGTCATCCACGCTGTAATCTTCGTCATCCGCTGCCTTGTCGTCGCGAGCAACCTTGCAAGCCCAGTGGACAACAACGGCGCTTCCAGTTCTTGGCCGATCAGGTTTACCCCACTCGTTGGTTGCAGTTGGCGCGTGCTTGTCAGGCCCTGATCAGATCAGAACCAGACACCGGGCCCCTTCTTAAGCGTTTCATCCTGGCCGGTTTTTGGAGCAACGTTCAGCGGTGGCGACGAGTGGGGGACCCCACGTGCCAGAAAACGAAGAACACGAGGCCCGCGCCTCCTGCTCCAGCCCGCCATCACCGTGTCCCTCCTTCCCCGTGGCCGTTCCAGTTTGAGCCGCGCGCTGCCTGGGGTTCGCGTGCGGTCCATGGCGAAGGCGCAGCCGTCCAGCCTGGAAATCAGGAATGCTATCCTAAATTACGGTTTGCCACGGATCGACCCCGCGCACTGGCTCACCAAGTCGGACCCCGCCTCTGAACGCTCCTCTTCGACGCTGGATCTGATCAGCGACAGCACAGCAGAGCACAGCGAGGAGGCGTGGCTTAAGCCAAGAGACTCCTCCGTCGAGCCGCAGGAACTGTACGAGCAGAGAGGATGTGGAGAACGCCGTCTGATGCAGGGGGAGAAGGTTGCCCATCAGGATATGGCGAAGCCCGAGGCAATCGAAGGCGCTGTGACTCTGGAGAAGTGGGCGGAGGACAACCGCTCCGTAATGACAAGGACGCAGCGGCGTCACAAGCAGCGGAAGTGTGCGCAAGCTAGGCTGAGGAGCGAGATCCCCGACGCGACGGCTGGCAACTCGAACGTCTCGAACGACATGCGAGCGAATGTAGCCGCCACCAAGATGTTTCAGTGATTGCCCCTGGGGCGATTCGAGTTCCAGTGGGTTGTGGTAGGTTCGCGCCGTTTCGACGAGGGATGAACAGCCCAGGTGGGAGCCATACGGTGAGTTCGTGTCGTGCCGACGCGACGGCGACCCCGCCGCGGGCGTTCAAGGTTGAACTCCGCTGGTTGCCCAGAATCGATCAATATGGAACGATCTGGCGATCGAAAACCCGCCGATCGTTCAGTGTTGAGCGATCCACGCGGTTTCAGAGACTAACGCCAAAGTCCTCGCGACACGAACTTGCTGTAAATATCCAGGGGCGCCGATGGTCCACATCTCTGGCGAGCCACCCGGGCCCCACTTTCATTTTCACACCGCCGGCAAGACTGCAGGTAACCCCTCTCGCGTATCCTCCGTCGTCCCTCTCGTCGTTCGTCCCTCCCTCTCTTTTTCCTCGGCCTCTCGTCCCCGCTCGTCGAGCCTCCCTCTCTAATCTCGTGCGTCGTCCTTCCTCTCCCCCTTGACTGTTTCAATTGTCTCCAGACTGGATGCTGCAGAAGCAGAGGGAGCAGTCGAGGCTAGGCGCGTCCGCCTGCCTGCACGCCGCAGCCTGCCGCCTTCCCTGAATCGGGGCTAGTCATCGGCGGCACGCTCCCCCTACCCCCCTCCGCGCGCCGCCAAGCTAGGGTGGGGGGCCCGCGCCCCAGCGCGATCAGCACGAGCGACCAGGGCACATCCTGAGCTGGGAGCGGTGCTGGCGGGCAAATCGGAGCTTCACTCCTGGAAGAGAGGGACCTCGTTCCTTGTTCAGGGTTCCTCAGGTCAACGCCCTGATTGTACGTACGGAAAGAGTAGGCACGAAGACCGACCGCACTTCCTGTTCACTGTGAGCAGGATTCGCTTTCGGCGCGGCCGCGGACCTAGTCCACTTGAGACAGAGGCCGCCTGCCCAACAGCGGCCGCTGCCGGTTTCGGGCAACCTTTGTCGTTGGGCATCGTACCCATGCGTTTCGTACGGTCGGACCGAGTTATAAGATCGAGGTCGGTTTGGGGTGGGTACCCTACTATTCTTCGTGTTTGATGGATGGTCTTGGCGATTTCGCAAGCAGGGCGGAAATTTCCTCGCTCTGCTCAAACTCCGTTGATGCCGATTTCCTCTTACTTTGTCGTCGCTGTGTCCGCTGTTCTTTTCGGGAATATCTGCCCCGCTCCGAGGCGCGGCAATTTCTGCTTTACCTCTTCGCACAAGCTGGGGGCTGGGGGGCATTTCCTGCACACGTTGAAGCCGGAAAATCAGCAGCAGTATGGCGGATCCTGACTCAGGGAGGCTCATTTCGGTACACTTCTCGCCCGCTTCGTGGCTCCATGGGGAGCCTCACCCGAGGCCCCAGTGGCAGGCCGCCCGCAGGCGTACCAGGCCCATGTAGGGCCCCCCCCCTACGCGTTTCGTGGCCCCATAGGGAGCACCACCGAAGGCCCAAGTGGCAGGGCCGGCATGTGTCCCCAGGCTCGTTTCGGCGCGCCCTTCGCACGTCTCGTGGGCCCTCAGGAAGCCCCACCGAAGGCCACACTGGCACAGATCGCATGCGTCCCCCCGCGCCCATCTCAGCACACCCCCGCGCGTTTCGTGGCCCCACGGGGAGCCTCACGGAAGAGAGGCAGCGCCCGCATGCCCTCCCCCCCGCCCATGTCGGCACACCCCTCACATGTTTCGTGGCCCCAGAGGGGGTTTCTACCCAAGACCTCAATGGAACAGTTCGCATGCGTCCCCAGGCAAATTTCGGCACGCCCTCACACGACGCTTCGTGGGGCTCCCCCCAGGCCCCCGTGGCAACTGCGTGTCATCACGGTGCCATGGACTGCGCTAGAACCGAAAAGCGCGCGCGAAGCGCCCGCGTGGTTCTAGTGTTTAATGGCCCTCGGCCCATCCCGCCACCGTGCCGGGATTGTGGGTCAGGGTCCTCAGGGATGCTGCTTGGTGTCTCTTCGGAGCGTTCTCGGGGGTCCAGGAGGCTTTGGGCCTCTTGGGGGCCTCTCGGGGGCGTCTTGGGGGCCTGCGGGGGCCTCCTGGGGGGCCCTCGGGGCTGAGGGCTCGAAACGTCCGTTCGGGTCCCCCGTCTGGGCCCCCATTTTGGGAGCCGTCTTGAGGGCCTCTTGGGCCGTCCAGGGGGCGCCTGAAGCCGTCTTGGGGCCCTCTTGGGCCGTTTTGGGGCCCTATTGGATGCCTCTTGGGCCAGCTTGCCGCGCTCTTGGGGGCCTTTTGGGCCGCTTTGGAGCGTCGGGAGGCCGAAACGGCGAGAACGCCCAAATCCTTCAAAAACATGAGGACAAGACATGCGTGCTGCAATTTCGGGCCCCCTTCGGAGTGCCCTCGGAGGCATCTTCAAGGCCTCCTGCGCCGTATGGAGGCTATCTTGGGCGTCTTGAGGCGATTTCTCGGCGACCCGAGACCCTCTTGGACCGCCTGGAACGGCCTCTTAGGACCGCCTGGGCCCGTCTTGGGGGGCCCTCCTGGGCCCCCCAAAGATCACGCGAGAAGACGGGAGGGGGCCCATGTGGGGCACGCGGGAAGCCCCAAGAGCTCGCGGCGCGCCGTCGTGCCAGCCCGGCGCTGGGCGCCTTGCCAGGGCGTCCAGCAAGAGCCCCAGCGCCCGGGCGCTCCGCTCCTCCGAGGGCTCGGCGCCCTCTTGGCGGCAAGAGTGACGACGACGACGAAGACGACGGACGACGACGACGACGAAGACGACGACGAAGACGACGGACCTCCTCAGGAGTGCGGGCCGAGGCTCGGGGGCACCAGGCAGAGGGCCCGAGGACACGCCCCCTCTCCGCGCCCCCAGGGGGGCGCGGCGGCGGCTTCGCGCTGGCATTTTCTGCCCCGGCCTGCAGGACCCAGGCAGGCGGTCTAGGAGGGAGGAGGAGGGAGGAGGAGGTGGAGGAGGAGGAGGAGGAGGAGGAGGAGGAGGAGGAGGAGGAGTTTTTGCAAAGAACGGCAGCCAGGCGCGCACCCAATTCGCGAGAGCAAAAAGGCCGAGCGACAGGCTGGCAGTTGAAAAACACGCGCGAGCTAAACGCCCGCCGTGGGCCACTCGCGGACCCCAGGCCTAGGAGGGAGGCCCTTGCGCAGCCGCAGCAGGGCGGTGAGCTGCGCCTTAGTCAGCGCGAGCGGTCCGTGCCGCGTGGCCTCGCACTCCTCCAAAAGCCGAGCGGGCCTGGAGTCGGCGTAGCGCCCACAAAGGCTGCAAAAAGAGAGGGCGCCTTTGCGCCACAACAGGTGCGAGCCGTGCGGCACATGCCCAGCAATGCCCGAGCCAGGCGGCAAGCGCACTGGGGGATCAGGCATCCCCAATGCGCGAAAAAGCTGCTCGTCGATAGGCGGCAACCCCGAGTACGAGCGCGGCAGCCTGACGCAGACCCGAAGCGCGGGAGCGGCGTCCGCCGCTGGCTCGTCCTCAGGCTCGATAGGCCCCACACCGTCCCCCCCCCCGTCCTCGTCGGCCCCGTCCCCTTCCCTCTGATGGCCTCGCTGCTGCTGCTCCACGCAGCAGGGAGGCGGGCTAGGCGGCGGCCATACGGCCGAGCAGGAGGAGCGCAGCAAGTGGAGGGCGCGGCTCTGGCAGCGCCTGACCGGTCGGCCACAACGCTTGCAGCGCCAGCCGAACGCGGTCGAGGCAAAGGCATGCTGAGAGCTGGCCGCGAAGCCCGAAAGCAGCTCCTCCCTCCTCAGAGCCCTGGAGACCTTGGGTTTCGTAACCACACGGCCAGGGCTCTTGGGGGCGGAGGCGGCGGCAGCACAGAGAGAGGCATTGCGGAGCAGGATGGCCTCGGCCTGCTCCACAAGATCCAAAGCGCGGCGGGCAACGTCAGGATCAAGCTGGGCCTCCTCAGCCCGCTCCTCGGCGAGCCCATCGGCCACTGCGTTGAGAAAAATAGCCTCGGGCGGCACAGAATGGCCGAGGCGAGCTAGCTTAGCGGGGTCCTCGGCAAGATGCGAGGGCACATGCAGGAGCGAGAAGCGGCCATCGCGGGCGTCTAGCAGCGAGAAGAGATCGTGCCAGAGGTCCGCGTGCTCGAGCTTGTAGCAGTGGCGGCGTCCGCGCGCGATCGCCTTCACGTGATTCACGTGGTCGGAGTAGAGCTTGAAATCGGCAGCAGGGTGGACGGCCCTGACGCACTCAACAATGGCCAGGAGCTCGGCGCGAGGCACCGTTTGCACAGGACCGTCCACCACGCCCGTACAGCCTGAGTCCCAGTCGAGACCTTGGCCGTCGTCTAGGCGAGCGAAGCTCCACGCCACGCGGCGTAGCAAGGGCTGAGACGACCAGGCACCGCCTGCGCCGTCGGTAGCGTAAATCCCCCCTGGCAGCGCCCCTTCACCGCAGCGCAGCCACCGATGGCCTCGCTCGTCGGGGGGCGGCGGGAGGTTCAGCCAGGCGAGGGGCACAAGCCCGCGGCACCAGAAAACAGGGAAGCGGTCGATCTCCTCCGACGCCTGACTGCGGAGGTGGTTGGAGGAGACCACGGCCTCAGGAGGAGGAGGCACACCTACCGAGCGCGCCCAGTCCCTCTCCATGGAGTTGCACATGCATTCCCAGAAACGGTGGCGGCTAGATTCTCGGGAGCGGTGGCAGCGCTGGCACAGGTCGTCCGTGCGGTAGCCAGCCTGGAAACGGCGCTCCTCCGTCCAGTAGCCACCACAAGCAACTAGGCGGACGAGGCTGGCGAGACTGTGCTGGGACTCCTTCTCCAGCCGCTCAGCCAGGGCAGGCACATGCTGCCACCAGACACCCTCCTCCGCCCCACCCCCATCAAGATGCTTGGCCGCCTGGCGCCAGACCGCGTTCTCAGCGGTCTGCTCAAAGGCCGCGAGGAGGCTGGTGACGGGGGCGACGGTGGTGGCGAAGAGCTCCCACTCCTGCCCGTCTGGCTCTACCAGCTTGGACAGGGAAGGGCACTGCCAGCCAGCCGACAGGACAGAGGCCTGAAAGGCCGCAAGAGGGCCACGCACGAAGTTCCAGCCGCGCGCCACA